TGCCTGCCTGCCGCCCTTCCCATCAGCTTGCCTCTCTGCCTGCCCCCCTTCCCACCCGCCTGCCTGCCCCTCTGCCCCCCAGGCTGCCCTAAGGAGGCTGTCTTTTTTTACCTCGGTCATTGTGCTGCTGTTGCAGTGTCTGTGCCAGCAGTCCAGGGCGGGAGCATAACCAAGGGCCTGCCGGGTACGAGGGTCCTCCAGGACCCCCCCTCATATCGCGGAGGCTCTATAACTCAGGTAGGCACCAAAAGAGCTACGTTACTGCAGCTTTTTATATAAGGAAGAGTTGAAGAACAAAGGTAGAAACGGAGTAGTTATGGTAACAGGAAAGGCATGTTGGCTAGCTGTAATATGCTCAAGTAGCACAGCCTTCATTTTGTAGTCTAGCAAGATTCAGTTCAATTCAGGGACGTGGGGCAGTGGGGCCGTGGGGCAGTGGGGCCGTGGGGCAGTGGGGCCGTGGGGCAGTGGGGCCGTGGGGCAGTGGGGCAGTGGGGCCGTGGTAGCCTAATGGTTCAGGAAGCGCACTTACCATTGAAAGGTTGCTGTTGAATCCCCTGCCAGCAAAGTACCACTTAGATACCCAGAGCAAGGTACCGCCCCCCAATCTATGCTCCCCAGGCGGTGAATTAGCTGCTTACTGCTGTGTCACAAAGTCACATATGGGTTAAATGCAGAGGACGCATTTCGTTCTTCACACTGTGGTGTGTCAATGATGACAATGAATCACTTTCACTTTGTATGTTTCTGTGAGTGGTTCTAGTCAATTCATTCACCTCTCGGCCCTGTGTCCCTGCCCACGGTCACATGTAGGAGGTGCTACATAAGTGCAGATTACCCACACTGCCCCAGAGCTTTTCTGATGTTCCACCGCCAGCCCTGTCCTCCGTTAAACTCTGTGTTTACCCCCCTCTTGGCTAGCTGCTGCCTCTGGCACTGAAGCACATTGCTGTTTACCTACTTATCAGGAAGTAACAGTTCTGTGGCGGTTTCTCATTTTCTGTCTCAGTGGACAACTAAGCAAAAGGGTGAGATACCTTGTCAACAAGGCATAGAGCTCACACGGTCAGCTCACGTTACCCGCAGATAAACCTGCCAGTGGGACCATTACGAGCCTTTGGTCACCATGGAGACACCTTCCAGTTACCTGTGGCCACCCCTTGCGGGCTCTGTGCCCCAGCCCTGACCTTTGCCACTGCCCTGCCCCTCACCCTCTGGGATCAGGTTTTGTATTGCTGGGATTTACTGTAATCAAATCAGAAAGGAAAAGTGATCCAAGCCGATTAATCTCCCCGGACATTTTTATAACGCGCCCCTGGCCGTGGTACAGGAACTCTTATATTCCTTATTGTAACACTAGAACCGACGTTTCCCACACCAGTGAACGTCAAACTCCTTTAACTGACAAGCAAGACATGCTTCGGTGTATCCAGCCCTCTTGTTTGTGCTAATGTCCCGTTAGTGTTAATAATAGCAGTGAGTCTAAAAGTCAAAGTCAAAAAGCCGTAATGCTCCTAATAGCGTGGCTGCTCTGTTCTGGAATCATACAGCTGAAAAGTTTTCACACGCAGGATGTATTTTAAAAATGTACATTTTCTGGGTTTCCAACTCTCATGCATCTGGCGTGACGCACATTCAGACTCTCACACTCAGGCAAGGTGTGTGTGTGTGTGTGCGTACGTGCGTGTGAGTGTGTGTGCGTACGTGCGTGTGAGTGTGTGTGCGTGCGCGCGCGCTTATCTCGAATTGAAAATCTCACTCCAGCCAGCTGATGAAAGTTGGCGGCCCTGGTTCTTATTTGAAATCAACTGATAAATGCAGTTTTTTGGTTAAAGCAGCTTGTTATTCCGTTTGCTTTGCATGTACTCTGACATATAAAATGAATGAGAAAACATTACCTATCTAATTTTTTATATCTATTCAATAGAAAAAGACCACCCATACCCAACTGTAAGAACCATTAAAGTTCTTTTGGTATTTGTTAAAGCGAGGCTTTTATTACCGTATGGGATTAAGATTAATTTCACAGGATATTATATAGCAGTTAATATGTCAAAAGCAGTACTTAAATCAATGAGAACTAAAATATATGACAAACACGACTGTATAATGGGGTTCACGTCTTTTTGGGGTGACAGTGAGCTGCTGTGATGATTACCGACTGTCCCATTGTTTTCCTGATTGGTGATCAGTATGCTGATGCGACGGCCCATTAACAAAAGCCAAAGGTGTGATGCGCAGAAGTTCGTGCTGCTGGCGGTTAGAGGAGGTCCCGGTGGATCAGTGTGTTAAGCACCACTACCAGCTTTTTCCTTTCTGTGCAAAGGCACACTTTGCCTTTTTGATTTTGAGTTTCCTTCTTTCAGTTTTATTTGTAATAAATTTTTTCTATCTTTTGCACATTGTAAGATAGTCGGTTATGTTTGTATGCTGGTTGTCTGAGTTATTAGCAGTGGATTTGGGTGACACTGCATTGTATTCCCATTGATTTCTGGCATGCAGGGCACCCCGGCTGACCTGCTATACAAGGCTTCGCGTGACGAGGCGCTCAGCAAGCCCCACGTGGTCTATGAGGGTGTCAGCGGCCACATCCTCACATATGAACGTGAGTTTCACACCATGCACGGTGAGCTTGGCCATGGCTTTTGCTCTTGCTCAGTACACTGTGACCCAGCACCTGGCTCGCTCTCTCCTCTTAGACCTTTACTCTTTTCTTTTTGGCATCTGAAGGAATTCCTGCTGTGCTGTTTAAAACAGGGGATATTTTACTCACATGTATCAGGTTGAGTACCTCCCCAAGGTACAGCCGCAGATCCCCTTGTGCAGCATAAATAAGTAAGGTCATGTGGACCCTGCCAGCCTATCTGGGTAGATCATACTGGCTGACTTCTCTGCTTTTTGGCCTTTCTGTCTGCAGGGGCAATGGCACAGGCTCCGAAGGAGGAGGGCCGTGGGGAGCTCCTGGGTCTGAAGCGGCCCTATGACGTCATGGAGGGGGGCATTACACGGGGGCTGCCTCTGCGGGATGCCACAGGGCTGTCTGCCCCCAACTGTGAAGGTATTTATCTTCTTGGCCCCTGCGCTCAGCAAATCGCCGGTTTTTTTCTCCCAGGTTTTGCTTTATTTTGTAAGATGCATTCTGACCAGTGACACTGAAATTTGGTTCAAATAGCTGTTGATTTGACCAGATGATTTGATTGGTCAGCTGACCGCGAGCCATTCTGCTCCATCCCCCAGGGCTGATTGAAAGGGTTATGCCGCAGGACCGCCACAGCCCACATTTCAAAGAGTCCCACCACATCCGTGGGTCCATCTCACAAGGTAGCGTGCTGGGGATTGGATGGCCAGGGTCCCTTTGAAGTTTCCCTAGCAGTAGCCTTTAAGATACCCCCCCCCCCCCCCCAACAGGCATCCCACGCCACCTGGACCAAAATGAGTACCTGAGGCGGGAGGCGAAGCAGATGAAGCGGGAGGCTTCGCCCCCCTCCAGGGGGCCTGATTCTCTGAAGGGCCGTCCTCACGACAGTGCTGTGGCGACCGTCAAAGAAGGGGGGCGCTCGATTCATGAGATCCCGCGGGAGGAGCTGCGGCAAGCCCCTGAGGGTTCCATGGGAGGCAAGGCTGCCAAGGAGGGCTCCATAACACAGGTAAGTCGGAGACGGGTGAATCTATCTTGAAGGCTGATTTATACTAATGTGTGGAATCTACGCCATCAGTAGCTGCGTACCCTATGCGGTCAGTAGCCGCGTACCCTACACCAGTGTTTCCCAACCCAGTCCTCAGGGAAACCCGGACAATCCACGTTTTTGCTTCCTCTCAGCATACCTGTACCAGGATTTCGTTATTGCTGATTGGCTGGGAGCTGGGAGGGAGCAAAAACATGGACTGTCTGGGGGTTCCCCGAGGACTGGGTTGGGAAACACTGCCCTACACTGTTGATAGCTGCGTGTACCCTATACCATCAGTAGCTACATACCCTACACTGTCGGTGGTCATGTTCCCTACACTGTAAGTAGCCACGTACGTGCATGGCCTACGCCATCGGTAGCCCCGTACCTGATGCCGTCGGTAGCCATATAGCTTTCGCTGTAAATAGCCATGTAGCTGAGTACCCTGCACTGTCGGTAGCCACATACCCAACACGAAGCTGTATAGCCACGTACCCTACACCATCAGTAGCCATGTAGCATACCCGATGCCGTTGGTAGCCACATACAGTAGCCTCTGCTGTAAATAGCCACGCACACTACGCCGTAGGTAGCCATGTAGCTGAGTACCCTGCACAGTTGGTAGCCACATACCCAACACGTAGCTGCATAGCCACCTACCCTATGCCATCAGTAGTCACATAGCCGCGTACCCTACAGGCATTAGGCTACGGCACAGGGAGCGTGGCTGTGTGGCTACCTACATTGTTGATTCTACTCTGAAGTATAAATCAGCATTTAGAATTTATCTGTCCTATTTTAATTAAATGGCCATTTTGAACAGTGTGAGGCCATAATCACATGGATAACAACATCACACTATGAAACCTCAAGGGACACTGACAGACAATGAGAGTCAGCAGAAATATATAAATGTGAAGTGTTGCACTGTGGTGGTAGCTGTGTGAGATCTAGAATATTCTGTAATATTAATATGAAGTTTAAAATTTGCTAGTGAGTGAGTTTTGTAATATAGCTACATATACAATATGATGCAGAAGTCTTGGACAGTCAAAGAACATGTTTAAGACTATTTAATTGGATAATAAGTGTTTGTTTGCTTAGAAAAAAAAAACAGTTTACCATTAGCATACACCGATGAATCAAATCATCATGTCTGCCCCCATGTGAAGCGAACGGTGGTCATTATCTCGTAATGTATGGAATATGGACTAAGACTATCCCATGTGGTACAAACCAACAGAAAGGCTACTGTGGTACAAATGGCGGGTGATTTGATGATGATCAGGGGAGTAATGTGTTGCAATACACATAGTATGGAGCTCTCCCGCGTAGGGGCCGTGAATCACACATGTAGGTCCAACGCGTCGCACAGATGCTCGACACATACTCAGTCGCCCATGATGCAACAGAAAATGGGATTCATCGGATCAGGCCACCTTCTTTCATTGTGCCAAAGTCCAATTCTGATGCCTTCATACCCATTGTAGGCACTTTCAGTGGTGGGCAACGGTCAGCATTGGCAGTCTCAGTCCTGTTCCTGGCTCCCCACTCTAGAATGTTTTCATTCCAACCCACAATACGTTCAACCTGCCACATTCATTATTAGCCTATTAAGGACCATATGAGCCTGATTAGGGTTGTGTTGGAATGAAAGCATTCTGGGAGAGGCACCAGGAACAGGATTGAGAGATACTGCCCTGTATGCAAGAGACCTCAATGCTCTGTGTATCTCACATTACTCCCCTGATCTTCATCTGAGATACCTGATATTTGTGCCACAGTAGCCTTTGTTGGTTTGTACCACACGGGATATCCTTCGTTCATTTCCCGCATTAACGGGTCCTGGTCGCCCAACAGCCTGTCGCAGTTTGTGATTTCCCCCCCCCTCTGTCCACACTGCATAGATACCACAGCTGCCTGTGAGCACCTTACATGTCTTGCTGATTCACGGATGCTCTGGCCATAATTATTTGGCCCTTGTTAAAGTCACTCCAATCTTTGTCCCTGCACATTTCTTAGTCAGCATTATTTCCTTCACTGCATTATTTACATCACATAGGGGTGGGCATAATGTTTTGCCTTATTGGTGTATATGCTAATGAACAGTGGTAACACTATATATAAAAATAAAAAAAAATACTTAATTTCTTCTGTTCTCCAATAAGCTACTGAAATCTTGTTAGATTCAGTACCTCTCTTCAAAGGTACCTCAGCTATTCCATGCTTTTGCTAAATTTCGCTACTAGCCTATTTAATTAATTAGCTCAGTTAAATAATTTGATGAGGAATAATTAGCCAAACATGGTGTGTAGTAGTAAAGTCAAGAGAGTTAAATGGAGGGTTACTGGAAATCTCTGATGACTTTTATAAAAGCTGTTGAAACATACTTTGAAAAGATCAAAATATGAAAAGAATTTAAACAATTTTCTTTGACTACCTTAGACTTTTGCCCAATACCGTAAATGTGAGGCTAATACACAGAAAACAGGTGTGCCATAAGTACAGGCACATGCATCCCGTCGCTGCGAACACTCTGCCTGATTGGTTTGCTCCTTTCTCTGTCCACAGGGTACACCAATGAAGCAGGAGGCCAGTGGCTCCGCAAAGCGTCATGATGTGCGCTCCATCATTGCCAGCTCACCACGCTCTCACCACGCCATGCCGCCCCACACAGAGCGTGCCCGAGCCTATGACGAGCCCCTTCCCAAGACGCGCCCGAGCGCTGTGGTCAGCACTGCCAGCTCACTGTCCCGTGCCTCCCCCCTGGCCCTGGGAGGCGGGGCTGAGCCAGGGGGGAGGGCCCACCACAGTCCGCTGGGTTATGAGGAGCACAAGGGGGCGCTGCGGGCACCGTATCCTGGCCCCCCTCACCGAGGGTCTCCTGTATCCTTGCGGGAATCAGGGCAGCGAGCATCAGAAGGTATTGGAATCTGCCCAGATGCCTACATTTTCAGGCAACTTAGATTAGCTTAAAACTGAATTTAGGCATACACGTATGTGTGACACAGGATAGGCAGTATGGCAGTCACCCAGGGTAGACAGTATCAAAGGCAATGGACAGTAAGGAAGTCACCGTGGGTAGACACCATGGAAGTCCCAGAGGGTAGGCGGAATGGAAGATATGTTGGGTAGACAGTATAGAAGTTGCAGGGGGTTCACAGTATGGAAGTCCTAGAGGGTAGACAGTATGGAAGTCCTAGAGGGTAGGTGGTGTGGAAGCCGCAGGGACTTCACAGGATGGAAGCCACCCAGGGTAGACAGTAAGGGTATTTTATTGGGTATACAGTAAGGAAGTCACCCAGGGTAGGCAGTATGGAAGTCATATTGGGTAGAAAAATATCTGTTTTGACTGCACTTCCACGTAACTAGTATTCTCTGAGGCGTCCATGTTGTTAGTGTCATAATATTATCAGTGACTACTCAACATTAAGATTAAAGAGTCATCACAGAGCAGTAAAGTCAAATAGTCCGTGCAGCCCCTAGCAGACAGTGAGGCTGGTACAAGCCGGGTACTAGATTCCTCCACCCCCACTTTGACACTGTTCTTTTCTATCTACTCATTTCCTTCTCAGGTTTGAATAAAACACAATCGCAGGAGCGCAAGGCCACACCCACCCCCCGGGAGATGAGCTCCAACAAGTCTCCCCTGACAAGTGCCGTAGCGGAGCACCACGCCTCGATAGCTTCCTATGAGCGCCTGCTGCAGGGCCTGGGAGCTGAGATGTACCGTGGGCAGATCCCCCTGACCTTCGATCCCGCTGCCTTGCAAAGAGGAATCCCCATCGATCCAGGTATGGGGGCAGTCTGTCTGGGGTAGGGGGGTGTGTGTTTACAAGCCCTTCTTCTCCCACCTCACTCCTGTTAGATACTTACCTGGTATCACCTCTGCCTCAGAGTCTCCTCCTTGCCCCCCTTCCAGCAGCAGCATATTACCTGCCTCGGCCCCTGGCCCCAGGCCCCGGTTACCCGCACCACTACCCCCCATACCTGATCCGAGGCTACCCAGACACGGCAGCCCTGGAAAACCGGCAAACACTGCTCAACGACTATATCACCTCACAGCAGATGCACCAGTGGCCGGCGGCCGCCATGGCTGCCCAGCGCTCAGACCTGCTGCGGGGCCTCTCGCCCCGGGACCAGCCCCTCGGTCTGCCATACCCCACAAGCCCCCGTGGTGAGGCTCGACCACGCATGCCCGCTCTACCACACGTACCGCTCTGTCGCCCTCTGAGTCTGGTGTACTGGAGGGCAGTGTGGCGCTCACGCCTCTGCTTGCTGCACTGCTCATCTTACTGCCTTGCCTTTTTCTTATTAGTCGTATCCTTTTTTTGAGTTTGACAACGTTTGCAGGCAGCTGGGGAATCTTACAGATGACTGTTAACATTCCCTATCCTTAATTCCTGCTTAAGTGGATGCCACCACTGACCTCTCAGTGTTATATCTGTGTGTTTAAACGTCTTTTAATGGTATTTGTTTAATGGAGTTCTCTCTCTCTCTCTCCCCCCCCTCCTTCTCAGGTATCATCGACTTGTCTCAGGTCCCACACTTACCTGTCCTGGTGCCTCCTTCTGCAGGGGCGACCAGCTCCCCCATGGATCGCATCACCTACATCCCCGGGACCTCCAGCGTCTTCCCCAGCCGCTCTTACACCTCCTCACCCATCTCTCCAGGTAGGTCTGGGGTGAGCGACGTCTGCACTTTCTCACCTGTGTACTTGCTAATGCTGCAGAATGTGTAACTGCGTAATATACATATGCTGTAAATTGTTCATCATCCACGATCATGCACACACAAAGCCTTGTTACAGTAGTTCTTAAATAATAAAAGCAATTAAGTGTCACTTTGTTGCAGTATGTAAATGATAAAAACACCTAGTGTCTCACCAGTAACACTGGGTAATATATAGTTGTTGGGGTGGAAGCATGTTGGGTAGTAGTGGGTTTAAAACCCAAGGGTGTTTCTCAATACCAAGAACGCGAAGATTGTACTTGTGTTCTTGGCAAGAGCGGTCTTGCTAACTTGCTTCCCAAGAAGGTCTTAGGGTGCAGTGAATCATTGGTTTGGTCTCATTTGGTTAGGCGCAACCGATGCATCCTTGATATTTGAGATTAGGGCAAGAACAGCATCCGGGGATTTTTACCATTTTCCATTATTCTGTTATTGAGTGTTGGAACTAGTCTTCGGCAGTGGAAGATGACGTAAAACGGGTATGTGGGAACATAAATATGGTCAAGTATACATATTGAGAAACACCCCAAATTTGTATAAAAGCAGTTTGCTCTCTCCCGGTCACCGTGTTACAGCTCATGTTTCAGGTTATAGAGTAAAGAATATGGCCCCCAATGTCTTTTCAGGTGGTCCCTCACACATAAGCAAGATCCAGGGGGTGGCATCAACTGATCGGGAACGGGATCGAGAACGGGAGAGAGACTGGGAGAGAGACCGTGAACGGGACCGGGAGAGAGACCGGGAAAGAGACCGAGAAAAAGAACGTGAGAAGGAACGAGAGCGTGACCGAGAACGAGAGAGGGACCGTGACAAACCCGGATCCCTGAGCCATGGCATCGTGGAGCATGCCCCCATCTGGCGACCTGGTGAGTGGTCACTTTACCAGCTCACCATGACGACTGTCTGCTATCCAGCTTATCTCTTTTCAGCTTACATTCTGAACTCGTTTTGGTGATTTTGCTCATTACTGTATCGTAAACCAGACTTTATTTGGCAGTCCAGGGGACAGATTAGTGTCCTGGCAGTGATGTTTTTAATGATAAAGGCCAGTTCCTTCACCGTCCTGTCTCTCCTCGTCCTGCCAGGCACAGAGCACAGTTCTGGAAGCGGCAGCACTGGTGCTGCACGGCCTTCCTCGCGCTCCTACAGCCACCAGCATTCACCGGTGTCCCCGCGTACCCAAGACAGCCTGCAGCAGAGGCCCAGCGTGCTACACAACACTGGGGGCCAGAGTCTGCCTGTGCCACCCGACCACACTGGCCCCTCGGTCCTCAGGTGGACGCTGCTGCCTTATGGGGAGATACTGCAGGCTTTTCTGGTCGCTGAAACTTCCTTCAGGAATTTGTCTGTGTCCAATTGCAGGTCCTCACGGCACACGGTGTACAGCACCCACCTACCGCAGAGGACGGGGCTTCCCCCAGACGCCTACCTCCAAGGCCTGGAGCAGACTGCTGTGAAGGAACACTCCAGGGGCACAGAGGCAGCCAAGAGCCACAGCCGGGGCAGCAGCAGCTTGTCCAAGCCCCCCCAGGACCAGCACACCGCTCTCTCCTCATCCTCCTCCACTTCTTCCTCATCTATAAGCAAATCTGAAGCCAAGCTGGTGAGCGCATCCCTGGGGGGCTTGTACAGCGGGCCCTACTCCCCAGCCTCGGCCCACCTGGGACACCCCCCTGGCCGGCCCCACCCGCTGCTGCCCCCACACCAGCTGCCCCCACAGTCGGAGAATCCGGCCAACAGCGGCGGTCCCCCTAGTAGGGAGAAGACTGCAAGCAAACCAATGTCTGTTCAGGACCAGGAGCTGCGAGCCCTCGGTAAGACCACCAGCTTCATAAACACCATAATTGTGTGTCAGATTTCTTGTGATCAGAGGATTCCAGAGGCGGCCGTGCCAACTGCCAACGGCCTCCTGGATGGTAAGATGCTCTGGAATGCGTCCCTGCACCCCCCTCGCCGCTCTGCAGTCTGCTGCACGTCCCTGCTCTCCCCTATACATGTAGTGACTGTTAGCACTGCATCCACACACTACTTTTGTTTGTCTTTTTATAAGAAGCATGTGTTTGCTTTGCATAATGTTCATTTGCCAAAGGGAAAATAATTTTTCTGTACTTTTTTTTTAAGGGGAATCCAATGATAAAAATCATACCTTTTAAAGACAGCTGCCTACTGTTCTGTTAGCTAGAGTATATATTATCAAGTTTTGCATTATATTTACAGCAGAATTGTCTTTGAAGTAAAACTTGTTCTTACAAATCCTATGTAAATTGGATCTCTTATTTTGCATAATTTGCATTTCACCTTGTTAGTGAAATGTAGCTTACCTGACATTACGGCTATGAAACAGATACAGGTAAATGATAATGAGCTTTCCTGACCTCTGCACAGGATATTTCCTTAATCTCCTTCAGAAGCCTGAGAATATGAAAATTAAACTGATCCCACACAGAAAAATAGCCATAGCAGCCATCATCTGAGCATCGCGTCAGGCTACTGAATGACAGGCTTGATTGGTGGTGTTGGGACCTTGAGCCAACAGGACCTGGCTGTTGCTGCCGCTTCTGGCCCTGTTCTTTGCATGTCCTGTCTCTCTCCCAGTCCCAATTCCCAGTTTACTTACTGCCTTTGCTATCTTCACTTAATTGGTGCTGTTTGTGCCATTACTTATGTTGATTTGTTTACTCTGTCCACTAGAGGGGGCTTTGGTCCCTCTGATGGTGGCGGGCAACTTCTAGTCCAACAGAGATGATTTCCTTGTTTAGTTAAGTGCCCCCAGAACCTGGCATCAGTGGGGTCCATCTTTTGAGAAATGTGGCTATGCAATGAGCAGAAACAAATAGACCGGCAATGTCCCCCATCCCCCCCCTCCCCGGGCCACAGGTAGCCGCTGTTTGTTTTTTCTTTGTGGTACATTCATATTGCAGACTAGAAGACCAAAGCTGGGTCATTCTAGCATACCTTTGCCAAGCCTGGAACTAGAACAGAACCAACATAGTAGGTCAAACTTTAGTTCTGGAGCCTTCACTCTTCCCTTGTCTGCTGGAGTGAAGAGAGTCGGGGGCAGATCGCATGTTGCATGCCCCACACAAACCAGGCAACTCTTCAGGATCTGCACTGCTGCCTGTTAGCTTGTCAGCCATCTGCAGGCTGTTTTCCCAGTGGTGCCAACATGATGGTGTCTGGGTGTCCACCAGAACTTCTTGCCGGAGTCTCCTGGGAATAAACCGCCGCCACTGTACCTCAATGACCTCCTTACTGCTGCAGGTCTTTGACCTTGTTACTGCTCAGCTTCCCTGGCCTCCTTACCACTGCAACTCCATGACCTCCTTGCCGGTGCAGCTTCATGACCTCCTTACTGGTGCAGCTCTTTGACACTGTTACTGCTTCACGTCACTGCCCTGACCTCTTTACCACTGCAGCTCTGTGACCACCTTATTGTTGCACATCTGTGACCTCCATAACATTATTCCTCCGTGACCTTACTGCTGCAGCTCCATGACCTCCTTACTGCAATACCTCTGTGACCTCCTTACAGGCTTCTTGACCTCCTTATTGCTGCAGCTTCGTGACAGCCATACCACTGTATCTCCATGACCTCCTTACGGGTTCTTTGACCTTCTTACTGCTGCAGCAGCACCATACCTTCCTTACCACTGTACCTCTGTGACCTCCTTACCGCTGCAGCTCCCTGACCTCCTTACCACTGCAGCTGTTTGACCTAGTTACTGCTTTACCTCTGTGACCTCCTTACCGCTGCAGCTCCCTGACCTCCTTACCACTGCAGCTGTTTGACCTAGTTACTGCTTTACCTCTGTGACCTCCTTACCGCTGCAGCTCCCTGACCTCCTTACCACTGCAGCTGTTTGACCTAGTTACTGCTTTACCTCCGTGACCTTCTTATTGTTGCAGCTCTTTCACCTCATTACTGTTTCTCCTCCCTGACCTCCTTACCACTGTAACTCTGTGACCTCCTTACCAGCTCTTTGACTTCATTATTGTTTCACCTCCCTGACCTCCTTACTGCTGCAGCTCCATAACCTCCTTAGCACTTCACCTCTGTGACCTCCTTACTACTGCACCTCCATGACCATGTTAGTATTTCACCTCCCTGACCACCTTTCTGCTGCAGCTCCCTGACCTCCTTACCACTGCAGCTGTTTGACCTAGTCATAATTTACCTCCGTGACCTTCTTATCGCTGCAGCTCTTTGACCTCATTACTTTTTCCCTCCATGACTTCCTTACTGCTGGAGCTCCATGGCCTCCTTACTGCTGCAGCTCTTTGACCTCATTACTGTTTCTCCTCCCTGACGACCTTACCACTGTACCTCTGTGACCTCCTTACCAGCTCCTTGACCTTTCACCTCCCTGACCACCTTACTACTGCAGCTCTGTGACCTCCATACTGCTTTGCCTCTGTGACATCCTTTCTGCTGCAGCTCCCTGACCACCTTACCACTGCAGTTGTTTGACCTAGTTACTACTTTACCTCCATGACCTCCTTACTGCTGCAGCTCTTTGACCATATTACTGTTTCTCCTCCCTGTCCTCCTTACCGGCTCATTGATGCATTATTGTTGCAGCTCCATGATCTCCTTACCACTGTACCTCTGCAACCTCCTTACTAGCTCCTCGACCTCCTTATTGTTTCACCTCCCCACCAATTTACTGCTGCAACTCCATGACCTTCTTACCACTGCAGTTCTTTGACCTTGTTACTGCTTCTCCTCCCTGACCTCCTTACCACTGCAGCTCTTTGACCTCATTACTTTCTCCCTCCATGACCTCCTTATTGCTGCAGCTCTTTGACCTCGTTACTGCTTCTCCTCCCTGACCTCCTTACCACTGTACCTCTGTGACCACTTTACCGGCTCATTGACCTCGTTATTGTTCCAGCTCCATGACCTCCTTACCACTGTACCTCTTTGACCTCCTTATTGTGGCAACTCCATCACCTCCTTACTGCTGTACCTTCGTAATGACCTTACCACTGCGGCTCTTTGTCCTCATTAACACTTCGCCTCTGTGACCTCCTTGCTGCTGCAGCTCCGTGACCACCTTACTGCTGCAGCTTAAAATTATAATGAAGAACTGGACATTCAGAGGCCAGGTACTATTACCAAGAGGATTATCTTACCTTTTTACTGATGCAGTCTTCAGTTACACACACACACATAAAGGTGTGTGCATACTTCAGGCAAAATTAAATGTCAGAACAAAATAAGCAGCTAATTGAGTACTTGAGATTAGTTTTTAGAGAGATTTAACAGTTTCTTCCAGGCCGGAAGCTGCCAGCTTGGGGTAGCAGCTACTTGGCACCCCGTATACTCTGCTGCACTGCAGCCATAATGCTGTCCATTTTAAATGCGATGGCAAGATTTTTACAGTTGCTTCCTTGTGAAGCGTACTCAACTTTGTCGTATTAAATACTAAATGAAATATATCTTTTTTTTTCCCATATGAACAAATGTTACACCCCTACTCTTTCAAAAGATGCCTAGGGATCTTTTGTGACATCAGCAAGTCAGGACCTCGGTTTTATATCTCTTATATATACACACACACACACACACACACACACACCAAGTATGCAAGATGCGATGCAACTGTGTTTTGCAGAGCAGATACCTATCAGGATCGGGATGCAGGCAGTGGTTGTTATGTCGAAGCTTCCACACTATCCCTGCTGCTCTCCTGCTAGGCACTCGTCTGCTTCTTAATCTGCTTTCCTGTCTGTGTGCCGTGTTTCCGGTTCACCTGCAGGGGGCACTGTCAGCGGCCCTGTTGCTGAGCTACAGCCCACAGTGCCACACACTGACTTCAGTTAGCAGCCCAGTCACTCTGAAGTCTCCTGGAAACTGACATGAATTATGTAACTGAGCATCTGTCCATTATTTTTCTCCTCTGTACGCCTGTGCTCACCTGTCTTGTCCTACGCCTGTGTGTGTGTCTTTGTATGTGTTCTGCTTCCTGTTTGTTTCATTTGCTCCTCTCCTGCTGTGTTGGCACGTACCCTGGATGTCTGCCCATCCGCGCAGTTCTGCAACAGAAGTCCCTGGAGCAGCAGCACAGCCTCTACCACCCCCCATCCGAAGGGAGCCCATCCCCCGGTCTCCCCAGCCAGCAGCCCACCTCACCATATGTCAAGGGCAGCCAGAGGGTGGTCACTCTGGCCCAGCACATTAGTGTAAGCCTTGCCTGCACAACTCCCAATCCACATGTGATAACACCTACGTCTGCATAGGCTCCACCCACGTTTGATAACACCTATGACACTGTAAGCCCCACCTACTTGTGACAACACCTGTCACCCCACGTAAGCCTTTGCTCCATTCACATATGATAACCACTGCATCTGTCCACAGTCAAGTCAAGCATCACAGAAGTTCTACCCAGTCTTCACAACACCAAACCACTGCTGGCCCTCACTCCATAATGATGTTTAACATGCTGGGGTGGGAGGCTTTGCTTTTAGGAATGCTTGGTTGTTTGGTTGGTTAACTTCACGAAAAGCCCGCTTGCTCTGCTCCCCATGTGCTGAATAGGAGGTGATCACCAAGGACTACACACGTCAATCCCAGCAGGCTAACCAGCCAGCAGCCTACAGCTACCACAGCTCGCCAGTGCTGGACCTCACACGCCCCCCTAGCACCCCCCAAGAACCTGGCCTGGTTGCACACTATTCCCCTGAGGGAGTCCATGGGGAGCGTGGCAGAGACCGGTATGGAGTGAGAGGATTTGGCAGCATGGCAGTGTAGTAATGGTGCCCAGCAACGGCTGCTGAATCTGTGATGTGTGTGTCCAGATCTCCCATCCTGAACAAGATGTCCCCAAGCAGCCTTCCCACAGATGGCATCGAGCCTGTGTCCCCGCCTAGTGGACTTTCAGATGCCGACCCACTTGGGGCCTCCTACCCCAGTGAGCAGGGCCAC